CCCCAAAACCCCAAAACCCCTTAAGAACTTTTTTATTTAAATAAACAGAAATTAAAAATATAGAATTCAGATTTAGCATTTATTAAAACATACTTTTGCTCATTGCTTTTGTCAAAATATTTTATCTATAATTATCAATTCTAGACTCATTTGTATGTTATTAGGTACTCTGGATATGCTTTCTTATTCTAATAGATCATATAAACCGTAGAACCATTTGCTTCACCCTACACACTATCATAGAGCAATTAAGGGTTCCATTCCATTGGAGGTGGCATCTTGATGTTACGATTAGGATCAAGTTTTTTGAATTCGCCTACAGTAACTCTTGCAAAGAACATCTAGAATGTTTAACTAATATTTGCTGCTTTTTAATTTACCAAAAAACTTGAATATTAACTGGAAAGTGTTCCATCTCTAACAGTGTGTCTATAATCATGACTATAACTTGCCTTCTCAGCAAAATAACAAGCTTGGCCCCACATTCCACCACTGCTATAAAGCATATTAAATCCTTCTTCACTGTCATAAATGGTAACTGGCGTAGTACTTCTTGTACCATGATAAAGCATCAATTAGTAGTTTTTTTACTTTCCCTAGTGTTTATCTGTTATATCTTCTAGGTGTATTGTAAATGTTCTCCATAATTTCTTATTTTAAATTTTTTGAATCTTAAGAATTTATGAATTTGGCATTGTTTGCATAAATTGATTTTAGATCATATTCCAAGCATTTGTTCCTTGTTAAACATCTAGAACCAAGAGATGTCTATCAATCATTTTATCAAATTACTCCCAGTGGTCTGGAACGTTATATTCGTTTGCAAATTTGAGAATTTTTTCAATAAATACTTAGGCATCTTTGCATTTTAAACCTTAGAGTGTAATTTAAGTTCCATCTCCGTCAAAAATAGCTAACGTATTGAATTTTATTTATGCTATTTATTTCAATTCGTTAAAGAGCACAGAGTTTATTTTTCCTGCGCATTTATCATAATGTCTCAAGTTGATAAAAGTTTAATGATTAGTAGGGTCATTTACATACTTCATCATCGCTTCTTCAAATGCCTGAACATCTGATCTCTTACCTTTGACAGACCAAACCTTTTTCTAAATTGGGTTATTTTGTTGGTTGTTTTAATTCATTCTGTCAGAGTATAGCATGTTAGGACTAAGGTATGATGATTATTTTTCTTATACCTAAACATTTTTTCTATGAAGTTATCTTGGATTATTGTATTAGGTATTTTTTTCATACCATGAAGATGGATCACGACTTGTTCCCCATACCTCATAATAGAATCCGTTTTTCTGCATATCTTGATCTCCAATTATTTCTAATTTTTGGCTAAATACATTTTTGCTGCAACATTCTTTATAATGACCCTCAATTTATCTGTTTTAATCAGGATCTAAAGGAAACCAATCTTCATTTTTGTTTGGTCTTTAATTATAATTATCGTCATAAGGTCTAACAGCATAAAACCATTGATAGTTTTCAGTTAGTGATGTTAAAAAAACTCTTTTATTAGCATAATTAATTAGAGACCTCTATCTATGTTATTATTCTTCTATTGTCTCAGAGGTGATATAAACATAAAATTAACTCTCACACTATTAAATTCCTTTCATATGTATAGCTTTTAGTAGATCTTTGTTACTGATTTACTTATTAATAATGTCTTAGCTAAGTTGTAATTAAATTAATGAAATATCTTATCCAGCTTTTTCGCAATCTTATTAGGTACCAGATATATAGAACCAATTTTTATTGTAATGAACTCTTACACAATATTCAGTTTCAATTTGTTAAATTTTCCTTATGTTTTCATCTAGTATCTTTACTAAAAATGAGTTTGGTGCATCTTGCATGATAATTTATTTAGTCTTTCTCTATCTTGCCTTTTGGTCTTCCATCTCCAAATCCACGAATTTTTTAAGTGCATCTTTCAGTCTATTCTTTGTCTATTTACCAACAGAGTATATTGTTGGAAAATTAAAACAAATCAAAACTCCATATTCTTACTGCACTTATTGCAACGAATCTTTTGCTTTTGTTTCTACAGCTTTGTTGTTTGTTTGATTAAGAGTGATTTTTTGGCAATCTATTTATGATAGTTTATTAATAAGGAACTATTCTGCCTAATCTAAATCAGGACCGGTTAATTGAATTTCATAGTCTTTCATTTCATAAATCTTTTTCTATTTTTCATCAATCTTGTCATATCGCCATCCTTTTTTACCTAATCTTTGATTGATTTGATTATAGTTTCTATTATTAGAGAATCTTGATTGCTAAGGATCATTCATTTCGAAAATATGAACTGTATCTGTCATTTTAATATCAAACTTATCTTCTAATATCTTTTATATTGTTTTATCATTGTGTAACTTTGTCTCAGTAGCAATAAAATAGTTAGAGATTCTGATTCTTTTTGTTTGGATATTTTTTACTGCCGACTTAACTTAGTTTATTATGTCTTTATACTATGATAATGTGATATTAACTTTGATCTGTAAAAAATTTTTGTCATAATAAACGTTATACTAGATTGGAGGATATTAATCTTTAAGAATATCCTCAATAATTTGATTATCCTTAAGGTAGTGGAAAACATGAACGAGATTTTCGCTGATATCTCTTGCCTTATTATAAATTGCATAATCCATTTTGAATGATGTAAATTAATATTACTCTAGAAGATTTTTTATTTTCATCAGTTTATCGTTGTCAATCCTGAAACCATAGATTGAGATTGTATTGTTATTATTTCTATTGCTTCTTCTTCAGTTATAATTTTTAGATTCTTCTGCTTGATCATACTAGATCCAAAAAGAAGCAGTTCCTATTTAATTGATTTCTTATCTTTTTTATGTAGTAAACAGGTTTGTCATACGTTCTACATCATTCTTGTTTGTATTTTTTACAATGTGCTTGATCCTCTGCAGCATATACTTCTATACTGATAAATCAGCTTCAACCCACTTTTCTGATGAAGAATCATACTCCAAGACGATTTCATCCTTTTTGTCTAAATCAAAGCTGAGAATTTCATTAGGGAATATTCTTTTTACTATCTGAAGTTATTTCTGAACATTTAACTTATGCTTTAAAAAGTCTTTGAACTTGTACGTTTTCTTTTCGTTTTTCATTTTTCCTTCTTCATACTTCTTCTTTTCCTCTTCTCATTAAGCAGGTCTCCATTAAGGAGCCTACCTAGGATTAATTTGAGAAGGCATTGGATTCTGTAAAGGATAACCTGGAGTATTTAATTCTTTTATTAATTCAAATTTAAGACATCTACCTGATTAAGTTGAGTGTAAGAAAATGCAGAATTCTTTCTAACATAGCATGTCTTGAGGACATTTCTATTAAGTAGATGACTTTTGTGATTTATTATCAGATTGAGTCTCCGAGATATCATCTTCGTTCGGATGTTATTTGATATTTCTACATTCTTTATTGTTACAAGCATAGCCTAAATCACATTACTCTCTTACTCTAGTACTTTGTGCATCTGAATTATACTTTACTTAGAAATGAGAGGGTGAATGAAAGAATCTGCAGTTACCTTGTGCAAAATGCCTACAATTTTTACCATTATTACATTTGTCTCTTCTCTAGTTATTGCTAGTTGTCTCAACATTATAGGCTTTTATTGAAAAGGTACCATTGCCACCTCTACCTATATAATTTCCTCCTCGATTATGATTATCTCTGCCACCTCTGCCTTAATAGCTACTGCCTCCTCTTATTTAATCATTCTCCTAGATAGTATCATTTACTCCATCTTCTTAGTTATATCTATATCCACCTTGAACACCACGGTGGTTATCATTTCCTCTTCCTCTATGCTCACCCCCTCTTTCTCTATGGTTATTTTAATAATCCTAATTGTCATTCACTATTGAAGTACCATCATTATTCATCATTGCACCTCCTCTGCTTTCTCTTCTTGGTGGTTCTTTTAGTTGAGATTAATTTTAATTTTAATGAATTATGTCGCACTATCCTGCAAGTATTTTTCTTTTACTTAATTTGCCTATCTAAAAGGTTTCGTCTATTCTTTCCATCTTCAGAAATTGTTGCACTATTTTAGTTTTATTAATATTTAAAAATGATATTATGCTAAATTCTAGAAAGTATATTAAGTGGCTAATTACTGATTAGAATTAAATGATTATTTGCCAGAAATCTTATCGATGGGGTTTTGGGGTTTTGGGG